GAGAGAGAGAGAGAGAGAGAGAGAGAGAGAGAGAGAGAGAGAGAGAGAGAGAGAGAGAGAGAGAGAGACCTGGCCCTAAGGGGATGGGTCCTACACATCTGCCTCCCTCCTGACCACGTCCTCTCCCACAGACTGTACCTGGGAAACCCCATGGACCCTCCTGACCTGCTAAGTGTGGAGCTGAGCACCTCCCGACCCACCCAGCATCTTGGGCGGGTGAAAAGTAAGAGCCTTTCCGTTCCTCGGTGTTCCCAGTTCACTGGCCACCCTGAGCCTGCTGTTCTACTCTGGGGACAGTCGGGTCAGGGCAGCAGGTGGGACAGCTGGATCCCTGGCTCTGGTTGGGCGTGGGGTAAGAGCAGAGAGGCAGCTGTATCCGCCGAGGAGGGGTCCTTGGGTTGGCCCTGCCCTGGCCCTGCAGCCTCAGCCTCAGCCTCCTCCTCCTCCTCCCTCCTCACCAGGCTCGTAGATCCTGGCTTCCCTTACTTCCCCCAGTCACGCTCTTCTCTTCCCAAGCCAACACCCTGTACCCCATTTTGGGCTCCATCTCAGCCAGGAGCCCCATCCGCCTCCCAGATCCTGTGCCTGTCATTCTGGAACACAGTTGTTCCGTCCGCCTCCCCATTCCTCCCATCTTCCGTTGAGTTGTGCATTCGCTCACTCCTGTTCATCTCTCCTTCCCTCCCTCTCTCCCTCCCTCCACTCCCTTTCTCTCTCTCTCTCTTTCCCTCTTTCCCTCCTTCCCTCTCTGTCTCTTTCTCTGTCTTTCTCTCGCTTTCCCCCTCTTCTGTTGTTTCAATCTCACGCGCTTTCCTCCTTTCTCCTTCTTTCTCCCTCCCTCCCTCTCTCCCTCCCTCCCTCTTTATCTCCCTCTTTCCCTCCCTTCCTCCCTTCCTCCTTTCCTCCATCCCTCTCTCTCTCCCTCTAAACCCTTCCCCTGCCTTGCTTGGCCATCCTTCTTTCTGCCTCCCCTGTCCGCATGGCCTTTCTTACAGGGGAGCCTCCACCTCGCCCACCTCAGCCTGCCATCTTCACTCAGAGTAAGTGGGGCTGTTCAGGATGCCTTGGCCCCCGCCCCCGCCCTCTCTGTCCTCTCTCTCCTCTCCTGGAAGGTACAGAGCCCTGGCGCTGGCTGTGTGGAAGGGAGGCGGGTGTGTGCTGTGAGCTCTAGCTACCGAACTGTCCGGCATGCCTTCTTCCCTCATCTTACCTCAAAGCCCGGCTTGATCTTCCTCTGCTGTGGCGTGGCCAGCCTCATGCTGCAGAGGTTGTGTCTGGGATGTGGTGGTAGCCATCAGGAGCTCTGTCTTCTGAGGAAAGCTGTAATGGTGTGCCACAATAGAGGTGCGGAGAGGGTTAATAACCAGCAGCAAAGAGCCGGGCTCTTGTGATAGGAAGGAACCTCAGAGACAGGTGTGAATGCGTGTTGCCTGCTCTAGCTTATGCAGAATCGGGGGTCTCTCCAGGGACACTGAGGCCTGAAGGCAGAGAAGGGTCTGTACTGCTTGAGTAGGGTTAGGTATGCACTTGGCAGCAGCCCAACCTAGAGGGGCCTTGGCAGTGGGTAGGTGGTGGGGACACTTGGCTAGGGGACTTGGCAGTGGGTAGGTGGTGGGGACACTTGACTAGGGGACTTGGCAGTGGGTAGGTGGTGGGGACACTTGGCTTTCTTTCTCTTACACATTTCCCTCCCTTGTTCCCTATCCCTATCTAACACTGTCTCCCTGTTGGGGTCTCCCTTTTTATCCCAGAGCCAACATACGACCCTGTGAGTGAGGACCCAGACCCCCTGTCCAGCGACTTCAAGAGGCTTGGCCTGAGGAAGCCAGCCCTGCCCCGAGGGCTGTGGCTGGCAAAGCCCTCAGCCCGAGTGCCAGGCACCAAGGCAGGCCGCAGCAGTGGGGGTGAGGTCACACTCATCGACTTCGGGGAGGAGCCTGTGGTCCCAACCCCACGGCCCTGTGCACCCTCCTTGGCACAGTTGGCCATGGATGCCTGCTCCTTGCTGGACAAGACACCACCACAGAGCCCCACACGGGCGCTGCCACGGCCTTTGCATCCCACACCTGTGGTAGACTGGGACGCTCGCCCGCTGCCCCCGCCCCCTGCCTATGATGATGTGGCCCAGGATGAGGATGACTTTGAGGTCTGCTCTATCAACAGCAGGCTAGTGGGTGCAGGCCTCCCTACTGGGGCCAGCCAAGGCGAGACCAATTATGCCTTTGTACCTGAGCAGGCACAGCTGTCCCCTACCCTGGAGGATAACCTATTCCTTCCACCCCAGGGTGGCGGCAAGCCACCCAGCTCAGCCCAGACTGCAGAGATCTTCCAGGCACTGCAGCAGGAGTGTATGCGGCAGCTACAGGTCCCCACTGGCCAGCTGACCCCCTCCCCTACCCCAGGAGGTGATGACAAGCCCCAGGTTCCACCCCGGGTACCTATCCCCCCTCGGCCCACACGTCCACGTGTGGAGCTATCTCCAGCTCCCTCAGGTGAGGAGGAGACAAGCCGGTGGCCTGGACCTGCCTCCCCTCCCAGAGTGCCTCCCCGGGAACCCCTGTCTCCTCAAGGTTCAAGGACCCCAAGTCCCCTAGTGCCACCTGGCAGCTCTCCACTACCACACCGGCTCTCTAGCTCACCTGGAAAGACCATGCCCACCACCCAGAGCTTTGCCTCAGACCCTAAGTATGCCACTCCACAAGTGATCCAGGCTCCTGGCCCACGGGCTGGCCCCTGCATCCTGCCCATTGTCCGTGATGGCAGGAAGGTCAGCAGTACCCACTACTACCTGCTGCCTGAGCGCCCTCCCTACCTAGAGCGCTATCAGCGCTTCCTGCAGGAGGCCCAGAGCCCAGAAGAGCCATCTGCCCTGCCTGTGCCCCCGCTGCTGCCCCCGCCCAGTACTCCAGCCCC